ACTCTCACATGTATTAGGTGTTCTCAATAGATGTTTGGATGTGTCTTGAATTGCTGAAAATGAATATGTTAAGAGGTTGATGGTGAACATGAGGGCATTAGTTAAATGGAGCTCAAAACTAGACAAGGAGAATCACTGAAAAGTGAACGGCAAAGTTTTAAAAGCAATCTGTGGCTATTGACTATATAAACTCACTTCTCACCATTATTGATTATCTTATCAAATTAAGTTTTCTTAATAGCCAAAAAAATTTTTTTAAATCTATTAAAAATGTACACAAGATACCATAAGACAACTCATGCACACACATACACACGTACCTATGAATATACTTCCTACCTGCCTTTAATTCAGCAGTAACATGTTCCATGAGGTCTTAGTCATGATTTGCCCAATTCTGAGGCTATGGACATCTACAGTCTAAAAGGGAGCGCCATTTCCTCTTTTTCTAAAGTCAGCACCTTCTTATCCTCTTTGATTACCTCATAGCATCCAATCGTCTGACTCAGTCATCTGATGATGAAGGTGTTGTAAGGAATGTGTGAGTTCATGCAGAGTAAAAACCAAAGTCCTTGCAAAGGCTCAAGGCCTTACATGATCTGTCCCCCATCCCATTTCCTCTCTGAACTCACAGCCTAGTTTTGTCCCCCATCTTACTACTCAGGCCACCCTTTCAAGCCTCTGCCAAAGCTTACATCTCAATGAGGGTAATACTCATCAACTCCCAACACTTCTAATGCCTCTTAGAATGTTATCCTTTATTAAATGGCATTCTTTTTCTCCTAAAATACCTGATTGTTTACTTCTTTATAATGCTTATTGTCTATTATCTCTCTCTCACCTGAAAATATAGACTCCAGAAGGTTAGGAGCTTTGCTGTTGGTTCACTGATTTATCCCCATATACCTAAAATATGCTTGGGACATAGCGGGCACTCAATAAACACTTGTTGGTTTAAGTGAACAAAATAATAATGAAATATCATAAATCAACAGGAAATAGACAGACAACCTAAATATTAAAAAATGGGAAAAAGCTTGAATAAACCTTTCATAAAAGAGGATATTCAAGTAGCTAGTAAACATAAAAAAGTGCCAAATTCCATTAATGGCTAAGGAAGTGCCAACTAAAACCATAATGAGAAATACCATTACATGTTCACCAGAATGACAAAAATAAATAACTGGAAATACCAATTGTTACAAAGATAAGAAGCACTGGGAACTCCCCTAGTAGTGAAAATTGGTAGAACACTTATGGTAAACATTTGACATTATCTAGCAAACTAGAATATGTACATGCCTTGTGCTACCATCTACTATTCCTAGGAACACGCCCTGAAGAACTACATTCATGTATACCAGAACACAAATACATGAATGTTCATTCCAGCATTGCTCATAAGAGCCAGAAATTAAGAACAACCCCCGTCAGTTAAATGAATACCTAGATTGCTAGAAATGTTATATATTCATGCTTGTAGAGTTGTTCTAGACATAATATAGATGAATCTTTCAAACAAAAATAAACAAAGAAGGTGATTAAAATACTCCTTAGAAGATGATTTCATTTATAAATAGTTCAAAAGCAGAGAAAACTAAACATTAATAGTTTAGCAATGCACACATATATGATATGACTATAAACAAAGGTAAGGAAATGTTCACTGCCTCCTGCCCCTCACCACTAGGTGGGGAGAGCAGGGAGTCCTGGGAAACTGGAAATGTCCTATGTCTTTCCTTTCTATGGCAGTCACATAAATGTTTGTTTGTCATTGTTTTTTAAAGTGTCCATAAATGTTTCATTTACTCTTCTCTGTTTGATGGATCCCAATTTTTGGAATAACAATAAATTGCCTATTCTTGTACAATTTTTCTTTCATTTGGAAGTTTGTCATGTTTGGTTCTTTGTGACAATGGATCGTGGCAGACCATATCCCTTTTTTGATACAGGTCTCTTTCCTTGGATAAGAATGGAATGTAATCAGTTTCACAGTCCTTACATTGCAATTGATAACAGATCCCTCATAAGTAGGTAATATAGAGTAAGAAACAGAATATAAGAAACAGAATAAGATCAACTAAAGGCCGGCCAGGTGTCTGGCACATGGCAGGCCTTCAGTGGGAGTCTGTTGTTGACAGGCCAGTGGTTGCTGCTGCTGGGGTTGACTCACAGGGCACCTCTCCACACTTTGTTTTTGGAAGAGTTATTTACAATAGGCCACCTAGTGCAAAATGAGAAACTTAGGATTTCCACCATGTTTTTCGGCCAGAGACTTTTCTGTAAGTGACTATTTCTATTTTCGTCTTCTTCCCTCAGGACTGCTTCATTACTCAGTTTATAGACCATTGATATTTTTCTCTGCTTATGAGGACAAATGGAATAAAAAAAATAAAAATCTGTAATAAGAACAGCCACATGGCCTTTTAATACCACATGATGTAGAAAGGGTCAGTCTCCTGGCTTCACTGACTGTGTACTTGCGCTAGTAATGTAACCTCTCTAATCTTCAGTTCTTCACTTGTGTGTGTGAGTGATGTGTTTCATGGATACCCAACAATCACATGAAAGTGAAATGATCTGAAAGATGCAACACTGCTTTGTTGACAGTGTTGTTCCTCTCTTTTTCCAATAACGCAGTTAATATTTATTGTTCACTACCAAAGATTAGAACTGCATGAGATTTAAAAACAAATTTCCTCCATCATTATTAGCCTCCAGAATTGACCAAATTTGACAATTTGCTGCATATCTTTGTATAAATGTATGTATATATGTATGTGTGTACATGCATACTTTTTTAAAAAGGGGATCATAGTCTATTAATCAGAGTACTATGAAGTAATTTTTATGAGGCAAATTACTATATATGTAACATGGAACAACAATATTTTATGTCACAAAGTTGCAGAACCATATTTACAATGTCATAATATTTGTGCAGACACAGAATATATGGCTTCCTGTGGGAAGGATATATTACAAAGAACTGAGGGATTTTACGCTTTACTTTGCATACTTTTCTAGCATTGTCATTTTATATCTTAAGCATGTATACTTTAACAGTAATTATTAAAGACTGGGTAAGCCCTAGCCAGGTGACTCAGTTGGTTGGAACGTCATCCCATGCACCAAAAGGTTCGAGGTTCTATTCCCCAGTCAGGGCACATACCTAGTTTGAGAGCTTAGTTCCCAATCAGGGCATGATTGGGAACCAACATATTTCTTATATTGATGTTTCTTTTTCCCTCTCTCCCTCACTGTCTCCCTCTTTCCACCCAACCCCCAACCCTGCTTCATCTCTCTCTAAAATAGTGAATGTATCCTCCGGTGAGCATACAAAAATAAAAAATAATAAAAATAATAAAAATAAAAAGAAAGATTGGGGCATATTAAAGAGAAAGAGAAAGTGGAGCATATTAAAAGGGAAGGATATACAAAAGAAATTGGGAAATAAAATAAAGAAGCAAAAATGAAAGCAGACATGATATGATTTTTCGAAAGCATTCATTAGGAAATAGAGGAAAATTGATCATGCAGATTCTGCTGTCAACTGTCTTGTTGCTTATGACTCCCAACCACAGGATATTCAGTCCTGCTGACTAGTTCATGCTAATGGCCCTCAATGACAAAGGGCAAATAAAGCCAGAATGAAGGTCAGCCAAGAGAGCGAGGACCAAAAATGATCAGTGCTCGACTGTTTCATAGTTTCAAGTTTTCAAACTCATTTTTTAAAAATGCACCAAACAGCCATTAATGTGTGGGATAGACAGAAATGACTACCTAATGTCCCCTGAAAAATCCTGATGTCATCAAACAATAGAATTTATTTATAGATAAACTTGTTCTCAATAAATCTTTGCATCCTTTCCATTAACACATCCTGCTATGACTATATTCACCATCTGCCTTGAATCTATCTGCTTTTTCTCTCTTCATCAGCCCGGTCCAAGTTCACTCCTGGTCCCACTTCAGGGACCTCCCAACTAGTCTCTCCATTTCCACCTTGGCTCCCTCTCTTCCCCCAGCCATTCTTTCCTTCCACCAGAAAAGCATTATCAATATTTCCAAAAATCTTTTGCACGGCCTCAAGGGGCTCCACCATCGGTCCCTTGCCCATTTCCCCAAGTTGCCTTTAAGGCTCCTAACTCTGCTAAGATCTTTGCCACCTCAGCCTTTGCTCATACTGGCCCTGCAAACTGAAATGCTCTTCTCCTGCAGATTTAAGTTCCTCACAGACTCCCCCCAACCCCTCCTCCCCTAATGTAAATTGAGTCACAATTTGTATTTTCCTATTTATTTGTATGGTATGGCTTTTATCTGACAACCCCATTTTGGTGAAGCTGTGTAATGACTACATGCAGGTTCATAATACTGTCTTCTCTACTTCTGTGCATATTGGAAATTTACCACAATAAACAGCTTTAAAATTTTCCCTCTGATGCTACAAATTGAAACAATTATTGTCTGCAATTATCTTAAACTAGTTTTTCAAATTTTGTATTTAAAAAAATGTTACTTTCCTTTTCAGGATAAATTTTTGTATATTTGTTTAATAGCCATATTAGAGATATAAAATGCCAGTATTTTGAAGTTCCTAACAAGGTCTTTACTGCAAGAAAGTGAACTGGAAATTAGCATCAGATAATCTAAGAGAAGGTCTGAAGTTCAATTGTTCTTTCGTTGTTTTTGCTACTAAATAAAGTCTTTTATTTGAAAGCAGCAATATTACTCAATAAAAATGACCCTAGACTAATGATATAAAAGTGTTGATCTAGCCTGTTTGTCGATTTCAATGAATCATTTACTCTCACTTGCTTTTTAAATAATTAATATAATAAAGGGGTAAAACTCTAAACTTTTATTTCAAATCTATAATTTCATGTTTCCATAATTTGGAAGACAAAAACACTAACATACAATACTAAATTTTATTTTTTTAAAAATGAAGCAATAATTCAAAACAACCTCTTTTTAAATTTATTTATTTTTAGGCAGAGGGGAAGTGAGAAAAACAGCAATGTGTGTGTGTGGTTTCCTCTCACACACCCTTACTGGGGACAAGGTCAGCAACCTTGACTGGGAATCAAACAGGTAAACATTTGGTTTGCAGGCAAGTGCTCATTCCACTGAGCCACACCACCCAGGGCTGTAAAATAACCTTTTTTGTTTTATTCATTCATAAGGTCATAAGCCCGGAGTGATGTTTATACCATGAGAATCTACAAAGCTGAGAGCAGAAACCACATCTCCGGAATATTTCACACTGCTAATCTTTTCTTTTCTGTTAACATACTTGTCCAACATGCTGTAGCACTGGCCCTTCGGATTGAAAGTATATACTGATGAAATCTGCTGCCAGGCTTCCATGCTTGGGGTTTTGTTTTCCCCCTTTGGATGTGAGCTGTCGAAGAAACATTTAACATTATTTTCTGCCAATTTGGTTGCATGTTCTGTGGCTTCACTTTTGAAAATCTTCTGCTCCTGTTCCGAATAGATTTTCCAAAAGTTCAACTGCATAAAACTAACTGGAGATCGACATCGAGTGACAGATACAAAGATCACAAGGGCGATGATAATAACTGCTATCAGGATCCAGCCCGCTACCTAGGAAAACACAGCAAAGTACTAATTTAGTCACATTTTTTAAAGAAGTAATTTTAAAATCCTCAGGTGAAGTTTGAACTACTCAACAGGCATGATGATGAACGAGCAACAGTTTTAAGTCTTACTTTCTTAGAGAAAAGAGTGCCAGTGACCTCTCGAAACCCTCAGTACAGCTGCTTGCTGCGCAAGTCAGCCGTATTCCAAGTCCTGTTAAGAGCCCAGGGAGATAGATGCCTGTATGTCTCGCCCCGAGAACTCTAAACATGGAATAGCAGCAAATCCAATGAAGCAAGCATTCATTTTCAAGAAGCTTTGAGCTTTGTATTCCAAGAAGGCAGCGTGGGGTGGTGGCCTTGGGGCCAGATGGGCCCATTTCATTGCAACAATTCTGCCTCCTGCTGGCTGGGCAAGCAACCTGACCTGGACGGAGTGATTTCGCTCCCAATACTAACGCAGGAGGTTAACGTAAGAAGTAACAGACCTAGCGCGGTCTCTGGCAGAGTAGATGCTGACGCCAAATTAAGTGCCTTTCCTCCTTTTCATTCGGGTTATTTAAACATTTGCCTTTTAGCTCATTAGAAGCAAGAAGCCATTCCAGTTTGTGTTCTGTGTCGTATGTCTGGGAAAGGGGCACCGATTTCTGTTTGCTTCCGTCCGCGCGCCGGAGCCCTCCCTCTCGGCTCCTCTCCACCGCGCCCGGCGCCAGCTCCTGACCTGAGACTGGGCCTTGAGGTCCTTCTGGAGATCCATCACGTCGGCCGCCTGTTGATTCCCGCAGGGCACCAGCGGCAGCAGAGCAATACAGTTGGAGTCGCGGCCGGAGCACAGGCGCCGCGCTAAGACTTCGCTCCCGCTGGCGGCGCACTCGTAAAAGCTGCCTCCGAGCAGCGCCACGGCCAGCCAAGTGAGGGGCGCGACAGCAGCCTTACCGCTGAGCTGCGCCAACACCAGGATCCCTCGCTGCCCCTCGCTGCCGCAGCAGGTGCAGGAGCCCGGTGCGCAGCAGCCGGTCAGCAGGCGCCAAGTGCGAGCGCTCAGCAGGTAGCCCAGGAGGAAGAGCGTCACAGCGGGTACCAGCAGGAACACCAGGCCGTAGGCCAGGTTCCAGGTGGCGCTGCAGGGGCACTGGAACACCACCGTGGAGAAGATGCGCTCCATGCCCGCTGTCAGCACAGTCACCAGACCACAGCCCAGGGCGCCGTGGTACTTGAGGTGCAGGTCCAGTACCGTCTTAAGCTTGTCCATTGGCTTCTCACCCTATGGCGCAGCGGACAGGTCCGGATGCTTCTACCTCTTGCCAGCCCTGCTTCACGGCTGGTTTTGTGCTGGGGTCTAGTGCTTTTCGCTCTGCCAAGAAGCAACTTCGAAAGAGGAAAGAAAGCTTATCTCCCTCGTGAACTTTCACTTTCTTATTTCAACCAAATCAGCCCTTCCTGACAGACCCACCCAGTCACACACAGCATTGGTCTCTCCAACACCTATCCCTCTTCAGGAGGGGGCTGCACCTGTTACCTTTCTTCCCCAATTCATGGACTCTGACTGAGGATAGACTCTGTTCCATTGTAACCTTTGTTTCCACACAGCTACCAAAGAACCAGGGGACTTTCCTGCCCCAGTGCAGCTGCCCAATGCAAACAATGCTTCTTACTTCAGGAAACTGGGAGAAAAAAAAAAGAACTGCCTCTGTTGCAGCTACCCTAGTTCCTAACCCAGTAAGACCAAACAGTTATTTTAAAAAACGATCATTTACAGAAAACATTATTCAGGCACAGATTTCTGGCTTCTCTTTCACAAGCTAATTCCCAACAAAGCCCTGCTCAAGTCCAGTACCTTCCTCATGTCTGTCCCTTCCTGTCCCTTTCTGGACAGACTCTCGGCCTCATTTACCCTGACTGTTCTCTCCTCTGCCTGATCTCCCACAGGTCATAAAGGACATTAGGCTGAATATACTATTATATTGACTTCTACCTTTTTTCCCCAGTTTTGTCCTTACCCTTTCAGTACCTGAAGGAGTGTCAGATTCTTAATCCATGACTAACAAGTTTATCAGTGGGAGGTGGAGGGGTACATGGCTGTTTAAAAATGTTGCCCTATCAGCAATCTTGAGAAAGAAGAACAAAGTTGGAGAGATCACAATACCTGACATGAAACTATAGTACAAGGCCACTGTAATCAAAACGGTCTGATACTGGCATAAAAACAGACACATAGATCAATGGAACAAAATAGAGGCCAGAAATAAATCCATGTCTTTATGGTCAATTAATAATTGACAAATGGGGCAGAAGCTTAAAATGGAGTAAATTAGCCTCTTCAACAAATGGTGTTGGGAGAACTGGACAGTTACATGCAAAAAAAATGAAATTTCACCACCAACTTACACCATACACAAAAATGAACTCGAGATGGATAATGGCCTTAAATATAAGTCACGACACCATAAAAGCTCTAGAGAAGAACATAGGCAGGAAACTCTCAGATATTCCACAAAGCAGTGTTTTCACCGGTATGTCCCCTAAAGCAAGGGACATAAAGGATAGAATAAACAAATGGGACTTCATCAAAATAAGAAGCTTCTGCATGGCTACAGAAGACATCAGCAAAATGGAAAGAGAATCAACCATATGGGAAAATATATTTGCCAATGATACCTCAGGCAAGGGTTTGATCTCCAAACTATATAAAAAACTCACATGACTCCACTCCAGGAAGATGAACAATCCAATTAAAAAATAGGCAAAGGACCTGAACAGACACTTCTCCAAAGAGGACACACACAGGGCCCAGAGATATATGAAAGGATGTTCAGCATCACTAGCCATAAGAGAGATGCAAATTAAACCCACAGTGAGATACCACTTCACACCAGTCAGAATGGGCATCATAAACAAATCAACAAACAACAAATGCTGGTGAGGTTGTGGAGAAAAGGGAACCCTAGTACACTGTTGGTGGGAAAGCAGACTGGTGCAACCACGTTGGAAAACTGTTTGGAATTTCCTCAAAAAGCTAAAAATGGAACTGCCTTTTGACCCAGCAATTCCATGACTGGGATTATACCCTAATAATCTCAAAACACCAATTCAAAAGAACGTATGCACCCCAATGTTCATAGCAGCACAATTTACAGTAGTCGAGTGCTGGAAGCAACCTGAGTGCTCATCAGTAAATGAATGGATAAAAAAATCTATGGTACATTTACACAATGGGATACTATGCAGCAGAAAGAAAAAAAGAGCTACTACCCTTTGCAACAGCATGGATGGAATTGGAGAGCATTATGCTAAGCAAAATAAGCCAAGGGGCAAAAGACAAATACCATGTGATCTCACCTATAAGTGGAACCTAATCAACTAAACAAACAAGCAAGAAAAATATAACCAGCAACATTGAAAGAAAAAAGAAACCAACAGTAATGAGAAGGAAGGAGGGAGGGGGGTAATGGGGAAAAGAAGGAGAAGGGTCAAGGAACACGTATAAAGGACCCACGGACAAAGATGAAGTGGGGAAGGACTGAGGGTGGGAGGTGGGGGAGGGTGGGGCAGGGGAAAGTGGTGGCGGGAAAATGGACACAAATGTATTTGAACAATAATTTAAAAAAATAAAAAGTAAAAGGAATGAAAGAAAAAACTGTATTTAGGCTTCTTAGAAAAATAAAAGAACTTTTTATCAGCAATGGCTAAAATTACGGATAGAGATTCACTTTTAAAAAAATGCTGCTTGAACCAAAAACATTTCAAACTGCAGCTACATCTAACTAACATGTTTGTTCCTCTTTTAGTTTTTTCAAAGCATCAATCCTCTGACACAAACTGTAAGCATTTCTGTGAAACAGCTTACATGGTGTGGCTCCAGAAAGAGGTGAAGGTATACCGACAAGAACATGGCCTTTGAAGTTAGGTGTAGTGTGTGTGTGTGTGTGTGTGTGTGTGTGTGTGTGTGTGTAATAAGTTAGCATCTCTGAGACTCAGCATTATGGTCTGTATAAGCAGGATAATAGAGCTCACTTTTCAAGATTGTTGAGCTCTGTAAATTGAGTAGAGAAAGTAAAGTATCTTTACATATAGGGTGTGTCTATTAAATGAACACTCACCGAGCCAACTGGCCCAATGGCTCAATTGGTTGGAGTGTTGTCCTCTACACCAAAGGTCACAGGTTCAATCCCTGGTGAGGGCACATGCCTAGATTGTGAGTTCAAGCCATGATCAGGGTGCATATGGGAGGCAACACAATCAATGTCTCTCCCTCTCCCCTCCTCCCTTGTTCTATAACAAAATAAAATTAATGAATACTCAATGTGAGAGATTACCCCTTACATTGCAACCGTGGGATAATTTGTTTTTTTAAAAAACACTGTTTTTTTTATTTTTTACTTTTTGATTTAATCTTTATTGTGTTTTTTCCATTACCGTTTAGTCCCCTTATACCCCCTTCCCCCAGGAATCACCACACTGTTCATGCCCGTGAGTCCTTCACCCTCATGTGACTGGGATTATTGGATACAACAGGAACAAGAAAAACAGATACATTGCTTTTACTGATAGTGAGGGGAAAGTCCTCAATGTTGTGCAGATTATTAGAATAGTTCATGCAGTAGAGAGCCTTCATGAGCAGAGGACATTTGAGCAGAAATCTGAATGACTAAGGCTCTGGGGTGCCAAGGAGCTTGAGGTTGGAAAGAAAGACATAGTGACTGGAATACTGAGGGTGAGAAGGGAGGTGGCCCATCACAAGGGCAGAACTGCAGGTTGAGGTCAGGTTTAGGGCCCTTATAGACCAGAGTGTGTAGTTTGCAGTCCTGCACCTGGAACTCCTTATGGACCGAGTTGCAACCTGACCTATTATCTTGTCAGTTTGAGTCTCCAAGCACCACATCCTGGGGTTGCCACCACTGTGCTCCCGCATGATGTATCCCACAGAGACTGATGATCATTCTGTCCTTGTTACATGTTTCCATAGCCATGAAAGCCTGGGTCCTGCCTGCCAGCCTGAATTTTCTCCCAACACCTGCAGTTGAGTCCAGTACCCTGGCATCCACCCCGATCATCTCTGGAGCAGTGAGTGGTTCTAACTCTGGGTCTATTGAAGGTTACCAAGCCCGTCATACCCAGCTCTGTTCTGAGGAAATGATGCTCAGATGTTTAACTCTTAGTGGAAGTATAATCAAATACTAATGGTGCCTACAGGAGTCAAGAATTCTTTCTGAGGATAGGCTAAATAATATCTGAAAGACCTTTACACTTTTGAAAATTCATAATTTAACACCAATTTACTTCACTTCTAAGAAATGATTCTCATGTTAAGCACATTAGAAAACCAATGGTTTTTAGTTTGGGGTTTGTTTTTTTTTAACTATACCACTTTGTTTCGCAACACTACCATCATCACAGGTTTCAGAAACCGCAAAACATTTCTCAGAAAAGCAAGGTAAACTCTTGAAAGGAAATACACATTCACATTGTTCTTTGCAGTCGTCTTCAAGGAGTTAGTTCAAGCATTATTCTCTGTAACTCTCATGAGAACGCAGGCTAATGGTATGGCCCTGTTTGGAATACAACTGCTAGATTCTAGCAAAGTCTCCATCCTGTCCCAAGACTCATCTACAACAGTAAAATCAAACTAAGGTTTGTAGCTACAAATATCTACAATGTATGTGCAAGACACAACTTTAGATGCCAAACCTAACAAGTAAGCTTAAAAAATGTGACGCTCTTAATCTTAAAGAATACCGTTCTGCATGTTATAATTTGTAGATATATTGTTTAGGTTAAGTCATGTATTTAATATATGGAACTTTTTAATATGTTTAGACTTTTGAAAGTTTATGAAAGTTCTTCCTATGGAAGTATAAACAGAAAGAAGAGCAGACTTTTCCTTGGCACAGGAGTGTCATTTGTTAAATGGCAATCCCATGACATTTCAAGTGCCAACCTTGCACTTGACCTTAACAGTAGTTAAGTCTATGCAGAGAGAAACAAGGCAACACCAGGGAGAAGCTAGGGCTATGGGACAGGTTTCAGGCACAACTGAATGGTCACCTACACACCCAGTTCCCTCAGAGCCACCAGAGCACAGTTGGGGTGGTGGAGCTGCAGGCCTTGGCAGAGGGGGAACTCTCCCATGAACCCCTCCTTCCCCGCCTCTTGCCCAGCTCAGGTTGTTTGCTCAGCAGAGTTGTCTGTTACAGGACGCTCATCTTCCCACTGCCTTCCCTATTTTCCCACTATCTTCACATACCCACGTATAGC